TTATAGAGCACTGCAATCCAGTATACAGAGAGCTGAGACCGGATTTCACTTTGAAGACTGAACTTTATCCAGATACCCACAGAACTACTGTATAGTATGCACAGTCATATAGTGGGCGAATACTTTCCTATCTATTTCCAGTGATGAAGGATGGTAAGACTTCACACTCTTCATTGCAATGTGCTTGCAGTCATCCCAGGGGCATCAGGTTAACTGTTGATGGAAATAAGGACATGGTGATGGCCAAATGTAGTAGCCTCGATGCAAGACGCGGACAGCTGACATTTAGAAAGATTGCTTTTTTGTCTTCTTTTTCTGTTTTTTTTTTGCCTGATACATTTTTACCCTGTCATTGTTTCCTTTTCTTAACGTTTTGCTCGTTTTTTCCCCCCAATCTTTTACATTTATTTTTGTGTAAGTTTTATGTAAAATGTTAAAGAAAATAGCAACGAATTATAATACATGCACACTGCAGCCAACCTAAAATTATATCCATAATATCAGTGCCTAGGTCTGATCATCTCAGTTACTACAATAAGATACAGTGTAATGTAATGCAATATCTATATAACTGTTTATGGCTGTGTAAAAATTGAACAGAAATTAGTGGAATTAAAGGAGCCTAATTCTACAAAGGATATCAACCAAAGAGTATAATGCATGTTATTATATTGAAAGCTAGGTTCTACTAATTTTATTCCATACCCAAATCTAGCCACTTAATTTACGACATTCTGTATAAATGTGTGATGTCGTTTCTACCTACCTACCCTGTTTAGACTTAATAATAATCATAATTAGACATGGGACATGTCCCGGGGGATATGAATATTAGTATTGGCACCACAGGTGTGTGGCTAAACCAGACTCACCCTGAACTGTCATTCCCTGCCTCCCTGCACTGCCGACCAATATGGTGAGGACATGTCCCGGGGGATATGAATATTAGTATCGGCACTACAGGTGTGTGGCTAAACCAGACTCTCACCCTGAACTGTCATTCCCTGCGTCCCTGCACTGCCGACCAATATGGTGAGAAGGCGGGAAGACAAGTCTCACTGCTTAGCTACTGAGAGGTTGGCTGTGCAGGGAGGCGGGGAAGCATCAGTCGGGCTATTTCCTGGATTGGTTCAATGGGAACAACACTGGCTGTGCGCACCATGCAGGGAGTGGTAAGTGGATCGGCTGGTTCTGCGGGGAGGGTCCAAATGGGCCAGGCACTTCTGGTAAGATGAATATGACTACCCCGTGTTTAATAATAATGTGCCACCAAGTCAATTCTGACTTATGGCAACCCTTCCCAGGGTTTTCTAGCTAAAGGATACTCAGAAGTGTTTTACCATTCTCTTTTTCTGGGGCCACCCTGGAACTATTCAGTTTGCCCATGACTACACAGATTGGCTCTACTCACAGTAGGCACAGTGGAGAATCGAACTCCCAAGCTCTGGCTTCTCAGCCAGATACCTAAACTGGGCTTACACACCATCTAACTCTTTGTGCCAGGAGTTCTTCACTAGAGACAATCACACTAGAGAAGCTGCAGATACTGTACTTAAAAGTGCCACACAAGATTAGAGACAGAACCATTCACCTGTCTTGCTCTCCTATGAATTAAGATGATTTCTTCAGCATTATGGGCCTCAGAGAGATGTCCTGTGAGCTGTGAAGTCACAGCTAAATGGGCATATTTATTTACCAATCAATTAATAAAACACAAAAACTAAAAAAAAAAGTGAACGAGTGCTGTCAGAAGCTAGGCCAGAGCTAATATAGTACCATTTGCCAGTTTGATGGAAGACAAGAAACAGGAACTCTTCAAAGATTACGAATGATGGTACTTGGTTAATCACAATTTTAATTTGGATTTTTTCAGTGACTCTACAGACTTCTGACTCTTCTGGGTGTGTGTAACATTTTTATTTTCAGGAGAGAAACTACCCTTACTGTGTTGTAGAAATTTACATGTGGCTACCATCCCCACCACCCCCACTCAGAGTCTGTTTACTGATCTCTCATCTGGAGATAACCATCTTTTTGTTTTAACTCCAGATTTGAGCTTGGCTAACTGAGCACACAAACATTGCTCCAGGCAACCATTCAGCTGAGTGACGATGTATATAAAAATTCCAAAGGGGCAGCCATTCCCATGGGTAGCCTTGTCGGAACAAATACGTCTGCATCTTCGGAACAAATACATCCGCATAATATGGTGGCATAGGACCTGGTGGCTGAGAACTCACTGTGGCTGAGCCACAGATCAGTCACCTATGCAAGTGTGGGTGGCTGTGTATGTGCCTGTGTGCACACATGAACATGCTGAAATAGAAAAAGATATAAATAAATATAGTTGTTCTTCCCTCCATTTATTTATCAATGGGTATCAAAAGGCCAAGCAACACAAGAGACAGTAGTAGGATTGTTACAGAACTATACCAAAAAATGCAAAAGATTCCAGCCAGGGTCTAATTAGCATGGGGATGACCTTCCCTCCCCTGACTAGCAGCATAGCCACAACAAAAAAGGGTGCCATGAATAAAGACTCAAAGAGGGACAGTTACGTTAAATAGGGAGCTAGGGATCCCCTGGATCTCTTGTAACACAACACAAAGCATGAAAATCCTCCCCCTTGTCTGGCCCTTGCAAGGATGAGGAATTGCAACCTCCTTCTTCTGTCAGGGAGGAAATTCCTGGTGTTTTTGACAGAGTTCTCATATCACCAGAAGCAACGTTTTGACCCCCACAAAAAAACCCCAATGCTGCACAAAATAGCCTATTTACACAAAACAGTGCAACCTTTCTCAATGGTGCAAACTGTGCACATTTCCCAAAATGAGTATGAGGGCAACTGGATTTAAGAATCTGAAGTATGAGGAGATATTTTTCAAAATCTTTCTCGACAATCAGGCAGCCTTGTTATAGTTGCTTTGTGTGTTTTGCTTTTCAAAAGGAAGGGGCTCAAGAGACATGCAAATGAGAGGGGGGGGGATATCACTCTTTCGTCTTGTCTCCCTCTCAAGTGGAGGTGAGGATTTTCTCTCAAGGTGCCTCCTGGTGTCAAGACAGCCTCTACTGGCAAGAACTGAGGGATTCAGCCTATATTCTTTCCATCCCCAATATGCAGGAGTAAGAGAAAGAGAGAGAGAGAGGCTCTACTGGCAAGAACTGAGGGATTCAGCCAGTATTCTTTCCATCCCCAATACGCAGGAGTAAGAGAGAGAGAGAGCCATTGTTTTGTTTTAACTTTTAGGGTTTACCCACACAGGCAAATGAAACGGTCCTCGAATGGTTTCCCTTGTGCTTGTTAATCTACACTGTTCCACCACTCCAAAACTCCTCACCCTTTCTGTATGGAGGCCTCAGCTCAGACTGCATGCAAGAGAAGCAGCAGCTCAGGGGCCCGAACCCCGTGTGGCAGCACCCAAGAAACAAGGAAATGTCAAGCAGTCCTTCCTCTTGCTAGATGGTGGGTGCTGCTGAAGTTGCATCATAAGAGCACAGAGGTGCACTCTGCAGGGAAGGAAAAATAAGGCCAGGGCAGTGTTTTCACTGAGAGGCACTCTGCACAGATACCCCCAAAGCACAGTCTGATACTGCTGGATATATGGCAACCTACATGAGTCTGAATAGATTGAGACAGTAAGTGCCAGTTGAAGTAAATTAAAAATAAGGGGTGGTCTGCTGAGGGAGACTTGTAGTGCAGTCTGCTCTGTAGGTTGCTGAGACAGTAAGTGCCAGTTGAAGTAAATTTAAGGGGTTGTCTGCTGAGGAAGACTTGTAGTACAGTCTGCTCTGTAGGTGTTGCCTGAACCATTTTATTTGCTGAATAATAGGAAGTTTATTGTTTCTTATTAAGCCATAGTCAGTTTCCTCAGAGAGTTTTGCCTCTATATAAGGAAACTAGAGTTGTCCATGCACTTAAGATACAGCATATTACTGAAACTGTGTTATCTCAAATCATTGCCATTATTCATATTTATTTACTTATGTCTAGTACCCTATTCAGGGAATGAGGAGCAGCAGGACAATTGCATAACTTCCACATCCTCAACCTGTAGAATGCTCCCTGTTGTATGACTGATCTCACAACCAGCACTAACACAACTGTCCTCCTGCTCCACATTGTGTGAGTAAAACACAGGTCAATGCACTTACCAAAATATAAATGTGACCCATCAAAAGCAGATGGCAAAACGTGCCCACATTCAAACAAGGAGCAACACATTCAAAACAATGCTTTGGTGAGTCTCCCCACCCACCACCCACCCCCAAAAGACAGTTCCACAACACTTGGGAAGCTGCCAATAAATGCCATTCTGCCTGTGTTTGTTGTTCCAATTTTGCACTGAGATCGTATTGTTCAGGGGCATAGTTTGAATTGACTGAAGAGATCACAGTAGGTTGTCAAGGAAAAGAAAATTTACATTAAGAAAGGGGAAAGAATATGTAGCCTTCCATATATTGTTTGACCTTCACATCCCATTAGCATCAACTAACATAGCCAAGAGTCAGGAATGATGGGGATTGTAGTAAAATAACATCTGAAGGAGTACAGGTTTCCCACCCCTGGCTTGCAAGACCCAATCTCTCTGCAGGATTTTTAAGGTCAAAAGCCATACTGTGAATCAGGCACAAAAGGCAACAGAAAACCAGGGTACAAGGTGAAGGGATTTGATATCCATCTGGCAACCCAAATTCTTTCCTGCATAAGATGAAGGAACATAGAGAGAGCTCCTCATAGAGCGTACTACAGTAACATGGGCTGCAACTCATTGAATTATGAATGTTTCAAAGGTCTGAAAGGATCAGTTTTTTCAAAACTGCAGGTGGAAAAATATTCCCCTTGCCATCATGGTAGCTGGTGGCGGCTGTGCTGCTGCTATTCTTGTAATTTAAAAGGATGTTTTTATTCAACAGAATAATAACTCAGGAAAAATCAACATTTTCTCAAGGATCATACACAGCTTGTAAGTCATGTCATCCTCAAACTATGACGTGCAATCCAATCCTTTTACTGGAACAAAATAACTTTTTAAAAAAAACTTTCCTTTAAATGAGGCACTCTTATTCAGTTAAAGTCAGAAGGAAAATAAGTACAACAAGGTGGAGAAGGGTACTCTTCCGTGATTGGGAAATGAATCTCCGTCCATCTTTTTTTTTGCAAAATACTTCAGCCATTAGTACAATTCAGGCGATAGCTCAAGTTAGGCTCCAGAGAGAGCTAATTTTAAGAGGCACATTTAGATCCATAATCGCCATGCCTGACGAGGTAAGCCATGAGCTTTTCAGTTAGCTCTGAGTGAGCAATTAGCATTTCCCCCAGCTCGAACTAGACTGATTACATGTTGCTCAGGCTGCGGGCAGAGAGCCTTCGATCCCCTTGGGGGTTGAGCTTCATCAGCTGCAGCACTTGTGTGAGTCCACTTACTTCATTATGAAAGGAGGAGCTGTGATGCTTGTGTGAATGGACTTGTTTCCGTAAGTGCCACTGTCGCCATCTCCTCTGAAACTCCTGCTGGACCTAAACAAAAAAAGTTTTTCAGATTGGGGTTGTGAGGCCGACAGATTTTCCCAAGAAAATCTGAAGGTGCTGGCAGGGTAGACCATGTTCCAGCTCAGTATTTGGGGGAATGGGCTAAAAAGCTTCATCAACAACTTACTCCATAGCCCCTTGATAATCTGTGGAACTGTACGAGATGCATGTGGTGCAGTGTTGGCCACCTGACCCACCAGTACTGTGAGCTGATTTAGGAGATCCCTGGTCTCTGTCAGCTCTTTATGTGAAAGTCTAACTGTGCCTTTGTAGTTGGGTGGGGTGGGGGTGGGCTTAGCAGAAAAGACAAAACAGCAGAGCTTGGAAAAGTTACTTTCTTGCCCCACACTACCCAAAATGTTCCAGCCAGTATCAGGCCCTACAGGGAGCGGAAGGACCATTTGGACCAGATCCTACTTCATGGGGTGAGGGCTTCACCTCAGCCTAAAGGTAGAGATAAATAAAATTATACTATTGTGCATTCTATGAATTAATTTAAAAAAAAAACTTGCCATTCTTTACATTAAAATACATTTTACCCTCTCTTCTCAAACAATGAGGGGGCCTCATCATGTGAAATAGCCCAGGCCTTATTTGAACTCTCAGAGGTGTCAAGCCAACATAGCCCTGACGGCTGGGAGGTACCAGGAGCTATGGTCCAAAACATAATTCTTCCAAACCCTGAAGAAAACACCAACACTTGAAAGTAAAGCATATAAAGTTGTCTGGGAACAGCAGCCCTGAGTGTTGGACCACGAGGTCTGGAGGTTTGGATTTGACCTACTCCCGGGGGATTTCCCCCAGTCCTGCCCTAAAGAACAGATTTGCCTTCTTTTTTTATTTGTTTATGATATGTGTTAATAACGGGGAAAGGGAAAGCTCCAAATCAAGAATCTATGCAGTTCTGGAGAAGAGGACAATAGAAGAAGAAGAAGGAAGAAAAAGAAGAATATGGCGAGAGGTCCCATATATGGTGGTGGGGAACACTGTTATTGTGTTTGAGTTTATATGTTTTTATGTATGATTTGTTTTTTGTTATAGTTATAGAAATAAATAAAAAAGATTTGGAAAAAAAGATTTGCCTTCTTTTTTAATTGTTTATACTCTGTATCTTCAATAGGAGCCTGACACAAAAATGTTTAGCTAGTGGATTCCATCACGTCCACAACACATTATCTTAGGAGCTTTCCTATATACATTCCCTCTGTCTACCATTTTAGTCATTCAATATGTGGGAAGCTCACCTCGCCATTTAGAAAACAATAAAGCACAGCCACAGCAAAGCCCTGAAACAAAAGAATTCCATTTTAATTATGTGATATACAATGCAAACACCATGTTCAGTCATTGTGGAATAAAAATGGAACATCAAGAAAATACTGCATGTATTCTTGTTTTTCCCCCCATTGTTGTACACAGCCTTGTGCTCCTGTATTGGAAGAAAGGTGGGATATAAAGAAAGTAAATAAAATGCACACAGACATAGACTTTCTAGGCAATCCCATACATATCTATGTGGGAGTAAAGTTGACAGGTCTGACAAGAACCTGAGTAGAATTGTTAATACAGTTTTGTAAAACAATATGTAAGAACTTATAAATGCTGTAAGTATTTGTAAGAATCACTGTAAAGAAATATTGTAAAATACTGATATAGACAGCTGTGAAGAGACAAGATATGTAGGAATACTTGCAACAGCTGTGTAAAGAAACCAATGATTAGCTGAAGGTGAAATAAAGCCCGCAGTTCCAGCATTCAACCTTGTGGCGTGGATCAGAGGAGTAAGAAGGAATACTGTCAGACGGATTTAACAAGGACAAAGATTTACTGGACTGAACCTATTGATATTACTATGTGTGACCAAAGGATTGAATAAGGACTATGCAGTATGGATAAACCTTGCTGCAAACTTGATTTCAATATAATTTTTTCTACAATTAATATTGCCTTTTTGTTTAATAACTCACTGAGCAACTTAGTTCTCTGGGAAAACTATTAGTTGGTGCCCCTGGCATGCTGCCAACTCTGTCAGAAGTCCCAGTGAACTGTAGGGGCTTACTTTAAAGTATGGTAGACATATTTAGTACTGCATTTTAATTCTATTAAAAGCTGGTGTGTTCTCACAAGTCCACAGATTCTTCTTCACTGTAAGAGCAAAACCAAAGTAGTGCACAAGGAAACACATCTTTGATGAAACTACCATGCCACCTAAGATTTACTGGACTGAACCTATTGATATTACTATGTGTGACCAAAGGATTGAATAAGGACTATGCAGTATGGATAAACCTTGCTGCAAACTTGATTTCAATATAATTTTTCTACAATCAATATTGTCTTTTTATTTAATAACTCACTGAGCAACTTCGTTCTATGGGAAAACTACTACTACCACCACCATGAATCCTCTGATTTTAGATGTTAAACAGGGAAGAGCCTGGTTAGTACTAAAATGGGAATTAGCATAAGTCTCCAGGTAAGAGCCTGGTTAGTACTAAAATGGGAATAAGCATAAGTCTCCAGGTAGGGCTTAGAGAAGGGGACGACAGAGGATGAGATGGTTGGACAGTGTCATCGAAGCAACCAACATGAATTTGACCCAACTCCGGGAGGCAGTGAAGGATAGGAGGGCCTGGTGTGCTCTGGTCCATGGAGTCATGAAGAGTCAGACATGACTGAATGAACAAACGAGGGCTTAGAACAAATCTTGCCTGATACCCCAGAAAGCTGCTGCCACTCAGAGTTGACAATACTCTTGTATTGTCAACTGGGCTTGATGGCTCAGTGGCCTGAAACAGAAATGTCCTCTGCTACTTCTGCCTGGACCCATAAAGTGGGTTTGAGAACACATCTGGACTGTTGATTCAGGACAGCAAAGAAGGACTGCCTTACCGTCTAGCCTGAATGTGTATTTGCCTGATAACCTTTGTCCTTGTGATGTAGACAATGTTTATAGAGTCTAAGCACCTATTTATTTATTTATTTGTTTATTTTGCAAGGGTGATAACATCATTTCCCCGTCTACCTCCAGTTTCCGTCTCATCCAGAATGTACCTAAATTCCTCACAACAGCTGGCAGGAAACAGGAGCATAAAATTCCCAAACACTCCCCACCCATCCAGAATATACCTAAATTCCTCACAACAGCTGGCAGGAAACAGGAGTTCACACCATCTATATACTAACTACCCCTTATGCCAGAAAATGTTTCTGGGTGGCTTGGTCTCGAGTGGCAATTAAGACTCATTAGTTTTTTAAAAAATGCTTCTAGCAGAGAAGGGAACTATTGGTTTTGTCAGTATGCTCAACACAGCTTCCTGAAAACTGGGGAAACCCCTCAAGGGTGTGGTAAGGAAGACTGCCATGATCAGCACACCTGCACTTCAACATTTACCATGACACATCTCTTTGAAACATTGTGACACCATGTTAGGAACACACCCTCTCTGTATTGCACTTCATGTGCACTCTAAACATACAAGCTTGGAAAAAAAAAGCTTATGATACTCTCAGTTTCAGAACACACCCTCTCTGTATTGCACTTCATGTACACTCTAAACATACAAGCTTGGAAAAGAATAAAAAGCTTATGATACTCTCAGTTTCAATGGTGAAAGAAGGGTAGGAACATTTCACCTGAAGAAGGAGCTGCAGATCTTTCAATAAATGAAAAATGAACTACCTGGAAAGAGCCGATGGCTTTTTCAAACAGAGCCTGAATCTCCAAGGTGCCATTTGCAGTATCAAAAGGGAAAAATGCAAAGATGATGTAGTGGACTCCAAAGAGAGGAATGAGGACCAGCGTTGATTTAGCAAGTCTCCTAGGAGCGAGGACAAAGAGAAGTGAGCAAAACAGGAGAAGTAGCACACCTAATAATGGCCTCAGTATATAGAGTGAACCTACAATGAGGTGGAGAGCACTTGCTCCTCCAGAGGTTCTGGACTACAGATCCCATAATCCATCACCATTTGTCATGCTGGATGGGTCCGATGGGAATGAGAGGCCCAAACATTTAGGGCCCAAAGGTTCCAACCCCCCATGCTCCATTGCAACAACGAGAATATGCAAATGACTGCGCATCAATAGGTTCAGTGGTCTCCTGAGCAAGGGAAGCAATGCAGCCTTGTCTTCAAGAACGCTTTAGGTCTCTCTCTCTCTCTCTCTTTTGCAACTACATATTTGCAAATTTTGGTGGTGCAACTAGAAATTACTGTATATACACGCCTGTTTCCCCCTACCCCTTCCTCTCACAAAAAAAGGTAACATTGTATACTCTTTTGGACTATAGCTCACATCAGCCCCACACAACATGGCCAATGGTTAGAAGTTATAGGAGTTCTAGCCCACTGTATCTAGGGGGCACTGTATTGCCTATGCCACACTGGGATGCCACATGCAGGCCTGATTTGCAGCCCTGTAGCAAGACTGCTGTCTTCTTCAAGATAAGAATGCAGCTCTTTTTTCCCCCCAAGAGCCTGATGTTTTGCACCCATTGTTATGCTCTGCTGCTACTACATACATGAACATAAAGATATGTCAGCTCAAAACAAAAGTACAGGCCAGCTGGGATGGTGACTGTTGGGAAAACTTATCAGTCATTCCTGAAATCCTGTTGGACCACCCTGCATGCACAACAGTGATGATGTCAGCAGCAGCAGCAGCAAATCACTGCACATTAAAGCCAATTTCAGGGTGCATGTGACCTGTATACAGTGCAACAGTCACCAAAAGAAGCCTTTAATCAGTGCTGATATGCCACTGGTGATGATATCACTGTTACACACATGGAGGTGCACAACAGGATTTTAGCCTATTTGCGATACACTGGTAATTGGGCTGACAGCCAACAGCTCAAACTTTGTCAAAAGGGCAACAGCAAAAGTTTCTCTTGTACTTATCCATGATGCTGAGTAAAGACATAAACTTACTTGTATTGACTGGAATCCTTGCCCCTTCCATCTGGCCATCTAAGTTTGCTCATTAGAATTCTTACAATATTAATGAACTGTATGAAATTAATCTGCAAAATCCACCAAAAATTGGTATTACGTTCACTTGTTTTAAAAAAACAGTAACACTATACTGAAGTTATTCTTCAGTTCAGTTGTATCTTGGAAATCTATATTTGTAAAACAGACTTACAACAATGGAGGCCAGAACAGGGCCTTGGATGAACCAACGCACGTACGTAAGATGAGTATCCCAACATCTGTAAAGACATTGAAAGATGACTGCATTCAGTGCTTGCTGGTGAATCAAGCTGAAAAAACTTAATGCCTCAGAAGAAAAGTATTACACAACAACATGGCTATCAGACAGGGTTTGGCATCCATCATCATTTGCCCCCAAAATGTGAAAATTACATATGTTCATGTAACACTTAGGAATCTCAAGTGTGCATTACAAGAAGCAGAGGCATAATTTTCTGATGTTTTTTTTTGTTAGAAAAAGATCCTTTACAGTTTTAGATGAACTTTTTAAAAAGTCTGAAATAATCTAATACAACAGAACAGGAACTTACAGCTCTTCCTACTGTTGTGGTTTTATCAAAAATGCTTAAAATTGGTCTACAGCCCGCTGGATTTATCTCTAATACCACATGGAAATAATGCTGTTAAGACAAAATTTAGAGGCCTGGAAGCCACACAGCTCTTTATTTTATAGTGAATCTCTAGAACCACTTCCTGTTTCTTGAACACAATATTTTTGTTTTTCTTTTGAGGCAGCATCAATCAGCAGGAAGGAACAAATCACGGACAGCTCATTGGGTTTGCTATTGTAAGGTTATCTCAGAATATTTTCCTAGTTTAAGAATTTCTGAATATTGCAAACAAATAGGATTGCAGTGATCTGAAACCATCTGTTAAAGATTTCATGGGAACATAATTGTAGTGACCCAAATAAATGATGAATTTTGAAAGATTTCGTGGAAATGTTGCTTACCCAACATTCTCATGTAACAGTCTGGCTACAACCCATGTGATTACAAATAAGCTGGGGGTGCCTGCAGTGGAGAAAGCAGAGTTATTTTAGTTGAAATATTCGGAGAGATAACAGTAAATCCCAGATCTCCTGTGCCAAACAATCTGGAGGAAAAATGAGACAACACGCAAACAAACGGAAGGTTCCAACACAGCTGGGGAAATCATGGGATATTCACAAGTGCCTAACCTTCTTAAAATAGCCCCCATTCCATACAAAAAAGGGGGAAACTCATGGAAAAGGTATTTCTGAGAATTGCTGCATGTACTTTCAAGGCTTCCTTCAATTTTGCAATTTTTTCAGCTACACGGTAGAAGCACGCCCTAGGCAGGTTATTTTTGCTCCTTGAAAGCTGAATGAACGAGAGTAAGAGACAAAGGGAAAATGGTGAGAAGGAGGAAATACAGAGAAGTAGAAGAGAGGAAAATGGTTGAGAGGAGGGTGACAAATCAAAAGGGGAGGAAAGTCGGTGAGAGGAATAAAAGAGGAGGTAGCAGGGATTGAGGAAAAGAAAGCTAGAAAGCTAGTATGCTCTAGGTGGACTACTTGTGATTCAGTAATACAGTATCATTCCCTTTATTGTGGAATGCAGTGTGTGTGAAGAAATGGTTGGGAAAACACAAGGGGATTACCAATTCTATAGTCACCACCACAAAACTGTGTGCATCAGGTAGGGGATCTTGTATCTGAGTCATGGCAACTGGACTTCTTTCTTCTTAGGTTGAAATGTTTTGCTACTCATTCAAGTAGCTTCTTCAGTCTGAGGAGAGTTGGTAGAAGATCCCTCCACACTGGTTTCACTTTCCCCTGGTCTGAATAGGCTGTTAGAAGGACAACGGACTGGGGCTGAGGGTTTCTCCAAAACAGTCACGAAACAGGAGAATGGCCCAGTACAGGAGGGGCAATGGATCAGGACCACAATCAGCAGTACTACTTCATTTGAAGGACAAAGGACACTAATTTGATGACCAACCAAGATGTACTTGTTTTGGATGAGAAGATAGGTGGTTTGAGAGAGGGGTCAGGGAGGCCATACATGTGCATATAGAAAATCCTTAACTCCGCAAGGGTGGAGGCCTTAGATACAATCTTCCTCCTATTTATCATGCTGCCTTTTCATCCATCCCCAGAAAGCTCAGGACCACACACACCAGAAAGACCCCTGTTAACAACCCATGACAATAGGTGGAGAAGGACTCCAGAAGTGGGATTATCCCTCAGCCCCAGTCCTTTGTCCTTCTAAGGAGCTTATTCAGACCAGGCGGAAAGTGAAATCAACGGGAGGATATATCAGGGGGCTCCTACCTACTCTCCTCAGAGTGAAGAAGCTACCTGGGTGAGTAGCATGAAGAAGCTACTTGGATGAGTAACAAAATTTTTCAAGCTAATAAGAAGGAAGTCCAGTTGCCATGACTCAGCTTCCAGATAACCTCTCCTGGATGACTGAGAATCTTCAGTGATATATCAGGCAGGGGACTTGTGTGAAAAAAGTCTCCTCTGGAGGAAGCCAGAATGAGAAATTGTCAGAAAGGAAGAGAGTGTGACATATAAAGGGAACTGACATTTTAAAAGCATCTGACATAACATATGGGACAAGGAGCAAACAATGGAGCAAACAGAGACATCCAGGATATGCAGCCTGTTGTTGCTGGAGGTCCCTACTTGTTCTGACCAACTGAAATCCAAATGGGTGCTTACCCCATCCCAGAACCACAAACCACCAGAAGAACTTTCTGTCAGAGAAGAAGGAGATAGCCAGCAAGGAGTGAAGATAAAGCCCTTCCACAAGAAGCCAACTGTAGTTAGCCATGATACAGAAGTTAATGAAGACCATGGTCATCTTACATCTGCTCTGAGGAAACACAAAGAAATTATAGAGAACAAGAAGTTTTATTTCCTTTTACTCGGGCAGCTTTGCTGTTACAATACTGAGCCTCATCTAGTTCTATTCAGCATTTGCCTGTATGTTCACTGTCGATTTATAACTGAGGGAAAAAGGCAAAGGGTTGCCTGCCAGTTACATGTGGCACCCTTCTAACCAACACAATAGTTTCAGCATGAAGCTGGCCAGTACTGCCCTCAGTAATGACTGGCCATTAAATGTTATTTTGAGTGGGGTTTAAAGGCCGTCATAGGCTTTAAAAAACAGTAATTATCTTTTAGCCACTTGTAGTTTTAATGTTATTTCAGGCCTCTTAAAGGCACAGGTAGCCTGAATATTCTAAACAAGTAACTATTCCCCCCTCCAAGGCTTCTGGAGGGCATGGTTGACCATTTTTATGTCCTACAAAGTATTTCCAGCAGAAGATAACGTGGCAGCACAAGATCCGGGGATAGGGATTACCTCCCAGACTCAGTTTTATGTCCTACAAAGTATTTCCAGCAGAGTGACAGCACAAGATAACGTGGCAGCACAAGATCCGCGGATGGGGATTACCTCCCAGACTCAGCAAAGTTTCCCAAAATGGTCTGTAAGTTCAACCTTGGTCTGTTTTTCACCTTGCAATGAACTGAGTATTTATACTATTTCCAGTTTCGTCTGCCTTACCATGTGTAATTCACAGTATGCATCATCATCAGTGTCCTCAGACAGTATTGGGTTTTTAATGAAGTTTGCCACAGCTCGCAAAATGAAGGAAGCAAAAAGCTGTATATGAACATAATTCCTTGTACAGTGAAGTCTTCTGTTCTCCAAAGAGAGAGATTGAGAGAGAGAGAGAAAGATTGTGCAAATTTTAAAACAAGGAATTGCTCAGTGAATTCTAATCAGCCACATGATAATTCAAAGCTACCTCAAATAGGGCAGGAGCTCAGCCAAAGGTCCTTCCAAGTCCCATTACACAAATCTTCTAAATGGAGATGCTGGGGATTGAACTGGGGACCTTTGATGCAAGTCATGGTGTTTTGCCACAGAGCTACATCTCATGAAGCCAACACCAAGTTCTACATTCTCCCCATAAACAACAATCTTATTCCAGTCTAGTAATAGACAGCAACAAAACCATTCTGTTCAACAGTGATTGGTCAGCCTTTGTAACTTTCTGACGACCAAACCATTCTGTTCAACAGTGATTGGTCAGAAAAAGCCTTTGTAACTTTCTGACGACTAACACATGACACTGCTTCCCAGAACTCTCGTCAGTGCTGCATTCTGGACAAGAAAGAAAGGTGCAAGGAAGTACCACCACCACCATCACTGGGTATCAGTTTACTGACCTCAGAACAATGGAAGGCTGAGTCAATCTTGAGCCGCCTACCTGAATCCACTGGGATTGAATGCAGGTTGCAAGCAGAGTTTTGAATGCAGTACTGAAGCTTAACCACGGTGCCACAAGGCTCCTACATAATCTTATTTAATGTGCCTTGAGCCACTTTGGGCATTCTTAGCACAAAAGTGGAACACAGATAAGCAGATGAAAGAATAAAGGAATAAATAATGAAAACAATGAGCACTTCCTCCTCACCTGAAAGAAGCCAGAACACCAATGGCAATTGTCAGTGCTACCAGGGAAATACTGGTTCCAACTGTGTATACTTTTTCCAACTTCATCAAATACGACACCTGTAAAGAGACATCCAGAAACACAAGGAAGTGCTACATAAAACGAAATAAGAGTTTTCAGAGATGAGTTACTAAAGAATAAGATCCCCCAAAGCCTATCATTACACTTCCTTCACCAAGCCATATCAATCTACTATTTAACAACGAAGTCAAGACAACACAATACTACACCATCATTCCCAGTGTCAAGAGTCTTCGAAGAACTGGGCTGGGAAAAGCAGAGACTGGAGAGCAGAGATTCAACACACCTATGAACGACAAAGTTGCTTCAAGTGTCTGCCTAACCTTTTCCTTGACATTTGTGTCCATACAGGTCCAAGCACAACAAAAATACAGAAACAAGCGGTGCATAACACACAGAAGCCTCTGATGCTTAAGTCAAACCAGCAACCCAGGTAGGTTCAGGAGGGATAGCTCACTCACTGCAGTGCAATACAACCGAGTGAAAATATTGTATTATGAACGGGATAGGAGGGAGCAGCGGAAGGTTAGTGCAACGAAGCTGAAGGTATATCTTAGGTTTTCTAGCAGCAACTATGGCAGCCCCTTATGCATGTGCAAAGCACACACTTGATTCCTACTAAGCAGGCATTTGAAGACTCTTGCAGAACATAAGAGCCTTCATTCAGTGATGGGGCCTCCAGAGGGAACCTTCCTCACTGGGGAGAGGTATCAATGCAGCTTCCCCTTCAGTCTGGGATCAAGCTGGGGTTAGGACACAGCCAAGCCCTTGCTTCCTCCCCAGCTCCAGGAAGTGAAATGAAGCTTCTTCAAAATGAGCTACTCCAGCTCTTCTTTCTGTAGCATGCCAAAACACAGTCATGGCAGTATAATACAGTAATTAATTACACGCAGTCAAGAGAATTACAACTTATGGCAACCCTTTCCAGGATTTTCTAGGTATACAGTACACAGAAGTGGATACCACACTCTTCTTCAGGGGGGTAATCTGGGGTCTTCAGCTTGCCCAAGGCCGCACAGACTGGCTTTTCCCTCACAAGGCATGGTGAGGAACTGAACTCCCAACCCCCTGGTTCTATAGCCAAATGCCTAACTTACTGGGCTATCCAGCCATATCCCCTCACGTTTCCTCTGCTTCCTTTGATAGCTGTAAGCAGCATTCTAGGTATGTCTGTGCACACCTGTGCCTGTGCAAGGGAAGTAAGGGAGCTACGCCCTCGATATACTATCAGTCCCAGAAACTTCTGGTGCTACCAAGTCTTCTGCATTAAGACTTGTTCTCCCAGAGCACAGTTCTCCCAGAGCAGAGGCTGCCATGTCCGTCTGCCTGGGGTGGGCTGAGGACAACAGAAGCCCAGCTGCCTGAAAAGTGAAGAGGTCATAACTACCTGTGACCCAGCAGGATGACATCTCTAGTCCTCTCTCCCTCAAAATTGAGCTAGTACCAGGAGTTGATGGATTCTAGTTAGCATCCAAGGGCAAACTCTGAAACCATAAAGGATGAATGTACTATGGTTTTATATTACTCATAGGGGTAAGGAGGCAGAGGGGAGACAACTGACTGGAAACAGCCAGAGTCTGGTGAGGCACTACTCTGCTTGTCTTAAAGGACCAGCCCCCATCACTCACTCTGCTTGTGATGCCACTTAATAGCAGCCAAAATCTGAGGCCCCCTCAAGCTTGAGGGCCATGAGTTATAGTGGATAGAGTACTGGACTAGAACTCAGGAGGCCTGGGCTCAACTCTAGGGGAGACAACTGACTGGAAACAGCCAGAGTCTGGTGAGGCACTACTCTGCTTGTCTTAAAGGACCAGCCCCCATCACTCACTCTGCTTGTGATGCCACTTAATAGCAGCCAAAATCTGAGGCCCCCTCAAGCTTGAGGGCCATGAGTTATAGTGGATAGAGTATTGGACTAGAACTCAGGAGGCCTGGGTTCAACTCCCTATTCAGCCATGGATGCTCACTGGCAAGTGGCAATAGTCAAAACACTCCTTAAATATCTCACAAACCTTAAAAACCCTATTAGGGCACCACATATTAAAAACAACTGGATGGCACATAACAAGCTTGAGATTTAGATCAAACAGGCCTGCTGAACCCCTGCTGTAAAAGTATCTGCCTAGCAGTGATCATGTTAGTGGGAAACCCTCTGAGGTGTTATTGTTGCATGCTGTCAAGTTGTTTCTAACTCATGATGAACATATGAAGAAGTGATCTCCAAAATGTCCTATCATTAATAGCACTTGAAACCTTAAGTCCATAACTACTGAATGTTGTTTCTAACTCATGATGAACATATGAATAAGTGATCTCCAAAATGTCCTATCATTAACAGCACTTGAAACCTTAAGACCATAACTGCTGAATCAATCCATCTAATATTTGGTCGTCCTCTTTTCCTGTCATCTTCAACTTTTGCTAGCATAACGGTCTTTTCCAACAAATCTTGTCTTCTTGTGAGAAACACAAAGAATAACAGCCTCAGATTTATGATCTTTGCTTCTAGAGTGTTCAGGTTGATTTGATCTAGGACCCACTTGGCCCATGCTATCCTCAGAGTTCTCCTGCAGTACCATACGTATTTTGAATAAAAGGATTTTTCCCTGTTTGCTTTCTTTATTATCTCACTATCACACCTGTACATTGTAACTAGAGATGGGCATGAATTAGAAGAATGATTATTCATTCTGTACATTGTAACTAGAGATGGGCATGAATCAGAAGAACGATTATTCATTTTGATTTGTGATTTATCAAGGTTGTAGAATCACAAATTACAAATTTATGATTTTGTTCTGATTGATCAATAAATCAATTTGTCAATTTGTGTTTAAAACCCTATAAAATCACCACTCAAGAATCTAGAGATACCAAATTTGCTGAGAAGCTTCTCCTGAGTCTCCTCTACAAGCCTTGCAAGTTAGGTGAAGTTTGGGTTTGGGGATTTTTTAAATATACTTGCAAGTTTGGTGAAGTTTGGGTTTTGGGTTTTTTTTAAATATATATTTTATTATCTATTACCAAACAACTATACAATACAACAACAGGGAGGGAAAAACAACAGAATTAACAAAACACAAAACATATACACAGGGGTGTATTCGCTTTCGTGCAATATCTAAAAAGCTCTTGACTCCATGACTGTGATGTGATAATCTCTAATACATTCTCTACTCATATCTGTTTCTGAGCCCAGTCGTAAAACATTTTCCAACTTTTCTTAATATTTATTCTTGAGTTCTCACGTAGTGTCTCTGATAAGCTATCCATTTCAGCAATATCTAATAATTTTTTAAGTTTGGGTTTTGGACATCCGAGTTATACACGCACAAAGTGGGTCACCCCAAGAAAGTGCTCTTTAGCAACTTGCTTGGGGAAACCCAACCTTCACCAAACTTGGAGAGATTTTATAGGAGAGTCAGAGAAAGCTTCCGTGCAATTTTGTTGACTCTAGGTTCCTTGGGGGCTCTTTTATAGCCAAATGAATCAACAAAACAAAAATTGCTAAAAAATGTTGATTTCTGGTTCGTTGAGGGGATTGATTCATATGAATACAAATTGACCAATTAGCTATTTTTGAAGAATTTGGTGATTCATTTTTAAAATTTGTGCCCATCTCTACTTGTAACTGTAAATACAACAGTGTTGATGATTTTGGACTTGGTTTGCTTCCAGAGATTAGAAAACCATCCAAATCTATAAGACTCCAGGGATCAAAGAACTTAATGGGACCTCCATCTCTGAAATGGACTGGGAGACTGTCCCATTTAAATCTAATCAGGAAGGGATGCCTCGGGATGGAGGTCATGCCATGTTCATGCCACGTCTACCCCGTACAAGTCCTTCTTTGGTCATGCTCATCCTACGAACTCACCTTAGATTCCCATTCAATTATAGGAGCATTAATTTCTTCTGCATTTAAGCCACAAGCAATATATGGTTTAGGATATTTTTCTGACCAGCCTTCTCTGGTGCAGTTGCGATATATAAGCCCTGCATTGCAGTGACAGGAACAAAATAAATCACTTAATTAGCTGCTATAAGAAGCACTGGGAAAATTACTATATCATCCAAAGTGACAGGAACAAAATAAATCACTTAATTGGCTGCTATAAGAAGCAGTGGGAAAATTACTATATCATCCAAACAGTATTTATGTTAGTTGTGGTTTTGTACATTTACACAACATTATGGTACAGAACTATGAGCCATAAAGCACTAATATCCACCCCAACTCCCACTCAATATGCTGAGGGGATGTAACTCCCCTTCCCAAAAAACACTTGGGACAGCAGGATCATTAGTACAAGGTGTAAAAAGGGTGGCTAAAATGGAAGACAAGACTTTAAGAATCGATGATCTGAAACTTTAGGATGAGACTGATCCATCCGAGTCCTACTTAAAAAAAAAAAACACCACATGGAGGAATAGATTAAAACAAGGATTGGTATCTCCAGCGTGCAGCAAGATTATTCAAGGTTTTGAAGCCTTCTGCAACATGAGAGGAAATGGGCTCTGTTTGAAGCAGCAAGCTATCTTGAGTCACCACTGGCCCCACATGCAGTGATTAGGCTGCTAATTGGAACCAGATATCACATGTGTGTGACCCTCAAGGTTCAGCTTAATCTGGCCCTGGAACCTGGGATCTCCTCAATGGAAGAGGAAGACGAGAAGTGCACCCTTGGCAGACCCCACAATCACCAATAAATCCAAAACATAATTTCTAGAAGCTTGTGATATGCGGAGAGAGAGAGGAAAAAATTACACATATCTCGGGGACAGCTCAGAAAATTTGCACTGCAGGATAGAATTCCTAGAATCCCCCAGCCGACAGGGCTACTGACTGCTCACCTGGGGTGAATATCCATTGCTTGTAAGGGAGCATTCGAAAGGAAAATGAAGAAGCCTTTCTCCTGCACCTCCAAATCTCTCTCTACTTATGTTATACTTCCTGCGGCATCTATAAAGCTGACCTATACTTGTCTAGCTAAAGAAATATAGCAGGGCTCCCTGTCAGTGCAATGACATTTTAGTTCTTTTTAAAATTTGCCTTGTTTTGTCTTTGTGCCCGTAAACAGCAAAAGGGCCAAAGAAGAAAACAGAGACAGAAAAGGAAGTAGCCAACCACCTCTGTAATTATTTGCAAGACTGAGAACACATCTCTTTTTCGGTCCTAGATTCTACATTCCTTTTTGAGATGCTAACTCATCATTTTTTCCCCTTACTGTTCATCCCACATCACACTCCTGCCTGCATCTCATCAGGTCATCTCTTAGTCTGAGTGTGTGGTCCTCCAGATGTTGTTGGGCTGCAACTTCCAGCTGTGCTAGCAGACACTGAGAAGATGATCATGAGAGCTGCAGCTCAACAGTACAGTATTTGGAACACATCTCCCAGCCCTGCTTTAATCATTGACACTGTACAAGTAAAACAACCTCATATCTTTTGAATATGTTTTCAGTATCTTGCTTTCAAACTTACCTGTTTGTCCAGTTACCATTTGGAAGGCTTGGGGGCAAGGGACACTGACAGTCTGGCCCACAGAAGAAGACAGCCAGCAGGTGATATTGTCCCACATTCCAAGGCATCTGCCTATAATTCAGGAACAAAACCACAACTGGATTCTGGTGGCTGTACAATGATTCAAGTTAAGGAGGAGATCCTGTCTCTGTCTCAGCTGGGTATGATTTAGATCAGTGGTCCCCAACCTTGGGCCTCCAGATGTTCTTGGACTTCGACTCCCAGAAATCCTGGCCAGCAGAGGTGCTGGTGAAGGCTTTTGGGGGCCACTGATCTAGATAATTTCCACCAATCACTGTGGAAGTCTGTTATCAAGAACTTGCACTCAAATGTGAATTCTCAAATGGCATCCCACAATGGACTTGCTACAGAAGAAGCTGCCACTAATAAAGGCAAGGGGTAAGACGGAAGAAGAGACAGAATATAGTTATGCAGGTAGGCAATTCTGCCTGTTCTGATTTCCCATTCCACAAACAACTATTCAACAATAGAACAAAAACAGGGGCTGGGAGATTATGAATGCAAGGAAGTGGCTATGAGAAGTTAAAATTGATGACCTAGACTAGTGCAATCCTACATATCTCGACTCAGCTATAAGCCCTACTGAGTTTGGTGGGACTTATTCCCCAGTAAGTATGTAAGAATAATAAAACAATATGACTTTTACCACAGCAATTGAAGGAGGCAAAAGCCAAAACGTGTTGCTTAGTTATTTCTGTTTGTGAGTCACTCTTACAAATGCATGCATAGCTGGCTGGATAACTCAGTGGTTCAGATATCTGGCTGCAGACCCAGAGGCTTGAAGTACGATCCCCCACTGTACCTCCTGGGAGAAGAGCCAGCCTGTGTGGCCTTTGGCCAGCTGCACACTCCCAAGGTGCCCCCAGAAGAAGGGAATGGTAAACCACCTTCGTGTCTTCTGTACCTAAAAAACCCTGGGAAGGGTTGCCATGAGTCAGAATCAATGGCACACATACACATGGTGGGCCAGGAGCATGATAGCCATCTTCAACTGTGCAAAGGACTCTGATACAAATGATGCAAGGACATCCTGGACACCTTTTTGTGTAAGTCAGAACAGTCCATTGTGCGAACAAATCAACTGACCAGGATCCTATCCTCTGTTGTTCTAGAGGTCAAGCCCCAGAGGTAGAAATGTTAGGGCAAACTTCCTAAGTAGGAGGAGCTGTTCCTTAATGAAATGCACTCTGAAAGTGAAACAGACTGTCCTGGGAGCTGGCAGGCTCTTTGTCTAACCTATATCAGATCTTGCTTGCCCATCTACATGCATGCTGTAATGGCACCCAGTACTGCAGAGCCTACAGCAAGCAGGAGGTTGAACTGCATGACCGTAACGATCCCTCCCAATTCTGTAATCATAGTATCACGTAGAATGATACTTTCCAGATTATGAATTTATAAACCCAGATTAGTTATTAACTGCACAGCAGGTCTAAGCAACAGATGATCTATTAAGAGGAATGTACTGTACTCATCTGCACCATCTTGTGGCCCCAGTATGACACCATAGCAGATACTGAACAAGCCGCTCTGCTTCTGTCTTCCTAGACAGGCAGTGGAACTAGAAGGTGGATTAATATAATAATGGACAACCATGCAAGATACACAGATGGTATCTAGCAGCACCATGGAATTTGCCATCTTGAGGACCTTTTTTAGTTATTATGTACCACCAAGCTGCTTCCAATGTATGGCGACCCTATTAATTCATGATCTCCAAGAGATCCTGCCAGGTTATGTAGCTCTGTTCAGGTTATGTAAAGTAACAGTTGTTGTCTCCTTTACTGAATCAATCCAGTTTGGTCTTCCTCTTCTACTGCCTTCCATTATTCTTAGCACTATTGTCTTTTGCTGTGAGCTTTGTCTTACCTTTTCTTGATGATCTGAGTATTAATTATTTTAAATTTAAGAGTATCTCTAATCTTCCTTTTCCATATTTCTGCCTTTTTATTTATTCTATTTACAGCAGAGATAATCAGGATTATTTTATGGAAAAGCCTGTGGTTTCTCTGTAGTCCTCATGGTGTAAACAGGATTTTAAAAAGTTAAAATGCCAGAGCTTTCTCAGCATTAACAATAGTTTAAAATCTGATGCAGAGAACCACCCAGGAGTGTGGCAGCAGCATTTTTCCTATAGCAGATTCTTGTTCATGGAAAACAGGTTATTTGGACAAGCCTTCAAGAAAGGATGACCACCCAGGAGTGTGGCAGCAGCATTTTTCCTATAGCAGATTCTTGTTCATGGAAAACAGGTTATTCGGACAAGCCTTCAAGAAGGAGAGATGATCAAAAAGTGGGGCTACTGGATTATCTGAGTAAAATCTGCAGTTTTGTATGTAGCATGAAGAAATGCAGACGGGCTTAACAGACATGCTAATTGGGGCACATTAATCTGCTACTGCAACAGCCACAAGAAAAATTCAAGATCTAGCTGATCATTTCATCTAAAACAGAACCATGGTAAATAAACACTTATGATTAAATCTCACTGATTCAATGCATCTACTCCAAGAGTCAAATGTAGAGCAGTGGTGATCCCTAGACTAAGGACAACAAAAAGATTCCTATTTATTTTATTTTATTCTTAGCCCACCTTTCTCCTAAAAAAGGACCCAAGGTATTTACATACCTTTCTAATAATACAGATATTCCCCAAAAGTCAAATGTAGAGCAGTGGTGATCCCTAGACTAAGGACAACAAAAAGATTCCTATTTATTTTATTTTATTCTTAGCCCACCTTTCTCCTAAAATAGGACCCAAGGTGTTTGCATACCTTTCTAATAATACAGATACAGTATTCCCCAGCTAATGGAAAAGTAAAAAGGACTGTTTATCTGTTCTGTTTCCTAAATGTACCTGCTTCAATGTAGGCCACTTTAGTTTGTGCATGGCCAAGCTGCATGCTACAAGAATTGGCAGTATACAGCCTCCATTAACTAATCCTAATAGCCATTAATCATGCCATTCAGGAGCCTTAGTTTAATAAATTATGATGAGTATGCTGGGAAAAGAGGAAGCAGACAACCTTATATGGTGGTCTTCTATCACACCTCACACATATCCAGTCATTGTGTATTTGGCAATTCCTACCTGCAAATATAGATCAAGTATAAAAAGCGGCATGGAGCAAAATACCATACATTGGGCCATTCGTGTCCAGTGTTCCAACAGATCCAGTGGCTATATGGTGGTCTTCTATCACACCTCACACATATCCAGTCATTGTATATTTGGTAATTCCCACTTGCAAATATAGATTGAGTATAAAAAGCGGTATGGAGCAAAATACATTGGGACATTCATGTCCAATGTTCCAACAGATCCAGTGGTTGCAGGTTGGTTGGACAGAATCTGAAATCATCTCCCTGATAAATAGGGAAGGCAAGGCCACTGTTCTGTTGATATAAAAACTCCATGCCAATAAAATATCATTAATCAAGACCCAGGAGAAGCCAATTAATGCTACACTTCAGTCAACCATTGTTCTGAAATCCCTTTCCCAGGAAACAATCTTTTTCCCCAACTCCCTCCACTGGTAACATGTCCCCCAATAATCATGTACATCTGGTCATTTAAGGTTACTATCAAAAAGAAACACAAATCCATAGAATAGTTAGAGTAGACCCATTGAAATCAATGGGATTTATGGAGGAACTGACTCACTGAATCCCTCCTGATTCAAGGGGCCTATTCCAGTGATACTAGCTACACTAGGCAACAGGAATGACACTAAGCCATACTCCTTGGACTACACCAGATTTAGATGCTACCATGGCGAAAGTTTGCATGTCTACTTTTTTTTTAATTTTACAAAACAAGCACAAAAGCAAGAAGGGACAAAATGGCTAAACAGATCTTGAAACCAGTTAAAAGTTCTAGCACAGACACACCTTTTGTCTTCTGTAGTAGAAAATGGGGTTCTGTAGTTCTTTTGGATTTTTTTAAAAAATAATTGCTCACTTCAGCTACATTTGCTGACAAATTCTACTTCTTCAACAATTATGGACATAGAGAACTTCAGAAACAGATTGTTCCTGACAGTTTTTTTTTCAAAGAGCCTATTACCTCTCATTCTTCATCACACAGAATTACATTATATCACAGAAGTGAGTACACCCCCTCGCGTTCCATAAATATTTTAGTATATCTTTTCATGTGACAACACTGAAGAAAAGACACTTGGCTACAATGTAAAGCAGTGAGTATACAGCTTGTATAACAGTGTAAATGTGCTGTCCCCTCAAAATAACGCAACACACAGCCATTCATGTCTAAACCGTTGGCAACAAGTTGCCTTTATTCCTGCAGCTTTTCTGAAGCAGGAATGTTGTTACTCTTAAGGGGAAACCACAAAGGTACTTCCCACCTTTCAGAATAGGCAGGCCTCCACAACCTAAACCAGATTGGGCCAACGTAAAGAAAAGTTCATGCCAAGTCGGGGGGCATCACAGCTTTAGGCTTCCAAGAGGCAACATATATCTTCTGCAGGAAAGAAAGAAACTGAAGAGTAGAATTCTTCTTCCTCCCACCCACCCCCATGGAGTCGATATTTTACCTGAATGCCTGAGTAATCTGTTGTAAGCTGTCCCGTTTGCTTCTTCCTGGGAGAGGGCCAAGGCACACAGTTCTTCTTCCATTCTCATAACTTTCTTGATTTCACATGATGAAATAAGGGCTCTCGTTTGCTGTTTTGGAAAGCAATGGCTCATTGACTGATCAACCTCTTCAGCATGCCACTTACAAAATATAACATCTATAAATATTCCCTTATGAACATCTGGTGATATGACAGATTTGTTCCTAAAGTGCAGCATTTTAAAAATTGAAAAAGTGGTTTTTAATACTGTTGTTCCTAAAGTGCAGCATTTTAAAAATTTAAAAAGTGGTTTTTAATATTTGCCATTTTGAGCTCATTTAGAACCAAACCTTTAGCCCCAGAGTTCGGAATGCTTCCAAATGTAATGCCATAAAATCACTGTGCTTTTTTCATATACGTAATTTGACAGAAAGCCCAAGCTTTTTAATATTTTCCTTGTAATTCTCTCTTGTTCACCTAACCACCTCTTCAGACTCTCTTTTCATTACAAAAATATTCTGTTAAGAAGGGGTGGGGGAAAAACAGAATAGCTGCCCAGTGGTTGTGACTGAGGGGTACAAGGGACACTATCTAGAAGCACCTTTGTCTGTAATATCAGGATTTGTCTTTGGGAATGTTGAGCCAACCATAAGAAAGGAGAACGTGCAGCCCCTAGAATCCTGCGGATTTCAATAAAAGGAGAAGAGTTTCAGGTTGTTTGGGGGACATCACACTTCAAAAAGAAAGGACATTTTTTTAAAATGTCTATCCTTCACATTTTATGACAATTGTTTATGAGGAGAGCTACAATAGGACAAAGTGGGGACAGAAAAGCCATGCTGTATAGTTCAGTGGTTTAGGCTGTGGAGCCAGAGTTTGAGGGTCTGATTCCTCACTGTGCCTCCTTGACAGGGGCTGGACCCAATGATCCACAGGTCCCGTCCAGCTCTGCAGTTCCAAAATGTACACACAGCCTGTACTACCTGACACCCACTAACAGAACTCAGTAAACCAGTAATTAATTGGAGCCCATGAAATGGTGGGGCATCTTCACTTTTATTAGTGCCCAAACCAGACAAGACAGATTTACAGCATCTCTGGTGGGTTTCCATATACAACAGCACACCATTAAATCCTCTTGGAGGTCTGTTTTACGTGCACCTTGCCTAGCATACAGGGCACATTGTCTTCTGAAGTAAAGCCTCCTGAAGGGGGTAAAATTTTTAATACCATTAAAAATAATCTTAATTAAAAACATTAACCTACAACTTCCAACCGCAGCCTTGTGGGCCTCAACAGGAAAGGGCCACAGATTAATGCATGTTATTTAAAAAGTAGTGTCTCTGTGTATTTTAATTTTTTACCTTCTTTAGGAAGTTTTACCTCCAAAAACAATGCAACATTTGTTTCAATAAACAGAATGAAAGGACAACTTTTCATCTCCTTTGTTTCCATACTTTCTCTTCAATACTGTACCAAAAATTAGCATCTTGTAGTCTAAGTAAGTAAGTAAGTAAGTAAGTAAGTAAGTAAGTAAGTAAGTAAGTAAGTAAGTAAGTAAGTAAGTAAGTAAGTAAGTAAGTAAGTAAGTAAGTAAGTAAGTAAGTAAGTAAGTAAGTAAGTAAGTAAGTAAGTAAGTAAGTAAGTAAGTAAGTAAGTAACGAATGAATGAATAAAGTAAGTAAGTAAGTAAGTAAGTAAGTAAGTAAGTAAGTAAGTAAGTAAGTAAGTAAGTAAGTAAGTAAGTAAGTAAGTAAGTAAGTAAGTAAGTAAGTAAGTAAGTACTCCAAGCTCTGGTAAATTGAAGCTTCCATCACTAACTCAGAACACAACATGGAAAGCTTCTAACTATTCAGACCATTTGCCCATTTGATCCAGTTCTCTCTTCTATGACAGCCAGTTCTTCAAGGTCTCAAACAGTGGGGTTTTCAGGCACTGCTGCTTGACTCACTTAACTACGGATGCCACTCGTTCAGCCTCAGACATTCTGCCTATAAAATATATTCTCTACCATAAGGATGGGCAAAGGGCAACTCTTGTCAATTCTAGCTACCACAGTCAAGGGAAGGAATGCTGGGAGATGCAGTCCAACAACCTCTGAAGGGTGCCATTTTGTCTACCCCTGCTTTGCCACTCAGCACAGATTTCTCATTATTCCACTGGCATGCTCAGTCACAACCTGGGCCCTTGCATTAACGAATCCATGACCAGAAAATAGCCCAGACTAGACAAACAAAAGCAAGAAGATATGGCACAGTCTTGTAAACCAGGCCTGAGGTAAGAGTCTTGCTTCTTAAAGAGGCCACTCCACTAGTCATTATGTTCTAAATGTTAGGAAATGCAAGAAAAGAGCTCAGAACTGTTACTTTAAAAAAAATCACAGAACAAGGGAGTCTTTGAGCTGTAGCCTTAAAAAAATAGCACCTGAAAGCTCTGTGTAGGAGAGCTTCTCTTCTGTACATATAACAGAGCCACTGTGGACAATCTTTGGTAGAGAAACGCTGTGTTAAAAAGCACCAGGTTCCAGAGGTGGCCGTGTTAATCCCTCCAGCTCAGCTCAGTTTATCTTTTGAGAACTGCAAGTTTCGGCTGCTAATGTTCCATATGGAAAAAGAAACCAGAACTGTTTGCGCCCAACCATGATGACTTACCATAAGCCTGCTTATTTTCTTTTATTACAAAACCAGATCTGTTCCATTACTCAAGAAGGAAATAGGACGAGCACTCACCTTGTCTTCCTGGATGTAAACATGTCAGAAAATGTAAACACAACATACCTTTAACAAATGTTATTTCAGAGTCCCTGTCTGCTATTTTAATTATGAAGTGTTTTAAATAAAAGGTATTTTAAATAAACACAGGGCAAGTAAACGGCTGGAAAAGGTATCAGCAGGAACCTATGTTGGTTCTTTCTTTCTTTCCTTCTTTCTTTCTTCATAGCAGAGTGCTGCCAGCAGGAACCTATGTTGGTTCTTTCTTTCCTTCTTTCGTTCTTCATAGCAGAGTGCTGCACAATTTACAATTATGGCCATATATGAAATATGAGACATTAGAAATTAAAATTTAAAATAATTAGACTATTTTGGATTAGAAGTGGAGGACTTCAATAGCATTATTTTGGCCATTCACTAGCATTTATTTGGAATGTGTGGTGTTCTGCTACATGCAGTCAACAAACCGTAAGGCAGGCTTGTCCAACCTTGGTCCTCCAGATGTTCTTAGACTACAGCTCCCAGAAGCCTTCACCACCACCTCTGCTGGCCAGGATTTCTGGGAGTTGAGTCCAAGAACATCTGGACGGCCAAGGTTGGACACCATTGCCGTAAGGTCTAAAGAGCAAGCACCACTATCAAACGGAAGGGGCACAATATCCCCATACTCCACTAGTAACACAATACTCTAGAGCTCCTGCTGCACAAGAAGTGAGCTTTGCTCAGCAGCAAAGAAGGGTCACACATAGGGCTGGAAAGGAAAGACCTCTCCATGAGACCTAAGAGAGCCACTATGACTAGAATAGACAGCATTCTGCTATAGGGGCCATAGGCCTCGCTAAGCATCACCCAACTCCTTATGTCTTCACAAACCTATCATATACGTAAGTGGCTTCTTCCAGTGGTGGGTTATGCATGACTCTTAGCTCAAAAAGGTAAGGCAGAGGCAGGAAATTTCCACATATATTTGGACTCCAACATCCATCAACCCCCCAACCACTGTGGCCAATGGTCAAGAATGATGGAAACTGTAGTCCAACAGCAGCCTTGAGGGCTTAAGTGGGATAGAGCCAGCGGTTTCCCTTTCCTAGCCATAGGGCTGGAACAGTGTCCCTCTTCACTAGAGGTTTGCACCACCGCTCCTGAAACCCCTTACCAGTGGCCACGGGACTGGGGCTCTGAGAAATAAAGCCCCAAACCATTGAAATACCGAAGCTTCCCCACCTCTGCCATTTATAGACTGCATGAGCAAAAATCAAACCAAGACCAAAACCTCCAGTAAAAACCTGCAGGGAGGAGATTAAAGAGGTTGCATGAAACAAGTGAGGCACAGCTAACATTCTGTTATCAGTAAGTGTGTAATTTGCATGTCCAATTCAAATCCAGTTTCTGCTATAAATTTTCTTTAGCAATAAGTTGCTGTTTCTGTAGTCTCAGCTCTTCTCTGTAATTTGAATATGGAGATAATAATATTATTCTGTTTTACACAGATGATGTAACAATTTTATTTATTTATATGATTTTTTGTTCTTTGTTTAAAACATTTATAGCCCACCCTATATCACAGTATCTCAGGGTGGGTTACAGAACTGTATAAAACAATTTTAAAGCATAATACACTTTAAAATCAAGCAATTTAAGCACAAAATTAAAACATTTAAACACTATAACATCAAAACCATTGCACAAAAACCTGCATAGGCTGTGATACTCAACCTTCAAAGCCTCTAATAAATAAGTATTGACTGGGTGCCAAAATGATGCTAGTGGCAGTGACTATCAAGCCTTCAGATAAGACATTCCACAACTGGACTATGTGGTAGAGTTGGGGTCCCTTAGGGTCTCCGTATAACAAATTACAATGTATGTTGCACACTTTAAACACTCTTTTGTTGGAATCTTAGCAAAGCATACAGATTTTTTTACAATTTTTCTGTTCTGTTTTGCTTGAGCCATCTCTAAAACATACATGTTTCTTAATGTAGACATGTAATAATATTGTATGGGGACAGCAAACAAGAATAAGTTATTGAAGAGATAGATGTTGATGCTGCTCTTAATCTGACACTTGACTGAGTATATCCCTTACAATCAATAGTGATTATATTACGCATCAGCAAATGTTAATTTTTGACTGACAGACGAATGCTTTATGAAGATAGAGAAAATGATCATCATAAAATGTTCATGATCATAAGAAACTAGCTGATGAGGCAATCTGTTCTGGTACTGGTATGTACAGAGCTCAAATCTTCTGGATTTTATGGCATACTGAAGCCATTTCGGGAGAAGACTGAACACTATACAGTAGTTTGCACAGTTAACTTCTAAACTAAGCGTAGGACTGCCTTGAGGAGAAAAAAATTATTTCAAGGGGAAATTAAGGTAGTCCTAAATTACAGCTGCCAGTGCATACAGACATACTTCCCACAGTAGAAGGCTAGATCTCTCATTTCCCCTTGCTAATTACCCCTATGCCTTGTTTTGTTGCATTCCACCACAGTGACAATACAAGACAACACTAGTATTCCAGGTTTTTAAGTAGTTCTGTATCCTAGATTACGAAGCTGAAATTGTTTCCTTATTCTTCATTCCTTGAAACATAGCTCAGTCATTCAGCTGAGTGAGGACTTTATTTTTAGATACTGATGGACCCCAAATTAAAATGTTGAACCTCCATGTATCATAGGTGACCACAATCAATAAACATTTCCCTCCAAAATTCAAAACAAAAATCTTTGATTTATCTACTTATTTTTGTTTAGCACATATCAAGGACTGACACTTGGTTCACTCTAGTTTTACATCCCAGTTCTATACATGTTTACTCAACCATGTTTTACTGTGCTCAGTACATCTTCTTCCTACCTATGTCTGTACAGGATCACAGTTTATGATTGTAGCCTTAAGCTGCAAGCCTGTACACATTTGCCTGGAAGTAACTCCCATTAAACTCTATGGACGTACTTTTGAGAAGACATGCATAGAACTGCATTGTTAGTATAAACACGCTGGACTTCACGCATTCTTCTAACATCCCCTTTCAGCGAATGATGAGATTTAATGGCATATGTTTCAGGTTTTTTGGCTGCAATACATAATATAAGTCTCTTCCTTTACTTACAGTTAGGGCTGAAGACACAAAGATAATCAGTACGATGGCCCACATGGTCAGTTGTTATCCATATCTCAGATACAGGATCAAAAGTCACTTCAGTGCGACTTTTTCAGCAGACTCGCTTGGGGCTTTCAACTCTCTCCTCCTCTCTTGGATTCATCAGCTCTCTTCACTGCGCTGTGCTAGAACGTGAACACCCCCAAGTTGCTCAATTGCCTCTATCAGCCGGATGCTAGGCTTCATCCAAACCTGCAGCTACCTTTATGACTCACATTCCACATAGCTTCACTTCTCTCTTCCATTAATCATTTTTTATCGCTGCATGCCTGTGGGGGAAAAAAATCAATCCATTAGGTTCCCACAGATAAGGGAGGAAAGCAAGGTTCTCGTAGGAGACATCAATTCCACAAAGAGTCACAATAAATCTGTCAAGGGGCAGACGATCATTGTTCTGGTGTCGCGAAGGAGGAAAGTAGACACTCAGACCAACTCACAGCTGAACAATGACAGCTCTGCACACTGTACCTCAAGCTGACCAAAACTCCTATGCTTAAGCCTGCCTTGAATGGGCATCTCTAGGAAATCCATGTGAGCTGAGAGAAAGAGGAACTTGGTTGAAACAAGCTAGCTTTGACTGAGGTGTAAGCTCCCCAGCTGCAGAACTAAGTAGGTGGCTGTGGAATATGATCCAGTGTTCACAGCCACACAGAGAATAATACAAATTTGAAGACACTGATGTCCAAAGCTACATCCATCCATACTACATTCACATGTAACAATGAAACAGCTTCACTGGATTCAATCAAACCCACTTCTATCAAAGTGTGCATAAAACTGCTTCTTTATTTTATTAGACTTGTTTGAAAGAATTATACTATCGGACATTAGCAAACATACTCAGTTTGCTTTACACAAATCAGATATGTAATACATTAGCATTTTGAATCTCCACATAGATTATACCTGAAAGTTGAATTTATCCATCTTTAGCCTCATCCCTTGCTACTCATTCTCACTAACAGCATTCTCTAATTAGATTTGGTATATGCTACATCCTTTTTAATTGCAAGAGGGACTGATGCCCAAGTAACCCATTTTATTTAAAAGGGCCAGCTATTGTCCAGAGTATTGTAGTCTCAAATTCCTTAACCACCCTCATTGCTGATATTCAATCTGCCACAATTGCACATTAGTAATTAATGTAGAGCAATACAACAAATGCAAAAAAAGGCTAACACAGAATTAAATTAACAGTACTCTTGATCTTAAAATGTTGAAAGATTGTATCAATTCTACTTTGACTAATCTAATAGCAGGCATATATACACTGACTTTTAAAATTACTGAATGGAGAAAATTGGCACCCGAATATTCTATCATTTCAAAAACCTGGTTTGTACCCGTTTTTCTGCCTTTCAGTATTACCATGCCAATAATATTTTGCATTTCAACCATTCATGTCATGAAACCCTTCCTCCCAATTGCTGGATCTGCATTTCTTGAAGGCGCTGCGACCATGACCATCCTCCCATATGGCAATATGTAGAAATTCATCTTTGTTTTTGAAAATTGTCAGCTCCACTAGATTTAAATTCACCGTTTAAGGGGAAAAAGGTGCTGTGAGTGGTTAGGTTTGATCAGTGGCACACTGATGGACATGCAGGTGATGGACATGCAAGTCTGTCCGGATGGAGGAAGGTGGAAAGGTCTGGTTTGCGCTGAAGAGGTTTTTATCTTCAGTGCAATCTTTACTTACACTTGAGCAATCCTTCCATTCACATTGGAGATGTTCATTCTCCTGCGAAAAGGGTCCAGAGAGGTATTTGGATTGCCATTTACTCACAAGCATGATTTATCCCTTTCACTCATGTGCAAAAAGGCAGCTAGTTCAGTGGTTCAGGTCTCTGGCTGCAGCACCAGAGGCTGGGAGTTCAATCCCCCACAGTGCCTCCCATGAGTAGAGCCAGCTGCACAGTCCCAGGATGTCCCCAGAAGAAGGGAGTGGAAAACCACTTCTGAATATTTTCTATCTGGGAAATATCAAAAAGGGTCACCATCAGTCAGAATTGACTTGACAGCTCATGATTATTATTAAGGAGATACTATCAGAGGACGGTCACCATCAGTCAGAATTGACTTGATGATTATTATTAAGGAATAATCAGCTCATGATTATTATTAAGGAGATACCATCAGAGGATAGTGGTGGTGCAGCAAACTCATAGTGGTGGTACTGGTATTAACGACATGAAAGGAAAACCAACTTGGGATGAAAGTTTGAGAGACAGAAGGGATATAACACATTTTTCGGGCCTTTCCCCTCAGCAGTGGCTCTGTTGGGACTGCCCTGCCTTGCGGGGATAGAGTCCATAGAGCTGG